GGAAATGGCAACCTGCTGCAGTGTTCTTGCCTGGGAAATTCCATGGACAGAGGAGCCTGGCAGGCTGCAGTCCATGGGGTTGTAGTTGGACACAACTTAGCAACTAAACAACAATTATTTTATTTTATTATCATTTTATTTCAGTGTCTAAACTACTTTTCAAAAACAGAATCAAAATTGAAACCATGGCAGATAATAATCTTTCTCCTTTTTAAAATATTTTTAAATGTTAAAATTAAATTGCTCTTTTGCTAATCTGATTTTTAGGAATGAGAGAACAAAGCACTACAAGTCAGGTACCTTTAAATGACTCATAATTACTCACGCAAATGCATGTAAACTTGGATATGCAATTAGGCAGCTCATTATGTTGCAAATGCAATTACATGCTCAAATTCATGGTCACTCCCTTGGCTCACCCAGCTGTCTCTCTTGTCTTAGGCTTATTTATGATCGGTTATTAGTAATCCCCAGCTGTCAGAATTTGAAAATGCATGCTGGTGCTAGTGGTGTCATTCAGCTAATAATGGAGGGAAAGTTTGAAAAGGAAGTTTGCCTTTGAGTTTATGTACGCAGGGTTGGTCGTCTTAGTTGGCAAAATCCCATTCCCCTTCTGAAGGTGCAGGCTTTCCATTTAGAAAAATTACCATTAATAGTGGTTAATGATATTTACAGTACAGTATACTCCATCATCTCTGATCTGCCATTCTGAAGTCCAGAAAGCCCTTAGTTGTTTTTTTGTTTTGTTGTGTTTTATTATAACTCATTGGTGGCAAAATCAGAAACGCTTCATTAGGACTCAAATCTGATATGTAATGGCACGACTCTTTCTAGTCTGTTTATCCAGATCACTAGCATGAAGATGTATGGATTTTGCCTCAGAGAACTTTTAATGTGTTTAGTTACGGACCACTGACCCAGACACCACTGAAGACTTTACATAAATGCAGTATACATAACTGTGTTACCTTTTGAAAATGCCTAAGGTTCTGAGTTTCAGATGCTTTTTGGCCCCAACAGTTTCTAATAAAGAATATTGGCCTTATAGTGAGAGTAACAGACTCCACATTAGCTATGGGTTAAAATTCTACTAGGAGGAAACTTTAACTGATATATGTATTAGACCACTTGGGTATTTTACATACAGTTAGTTTCCCATTTTGATTCACAGTTACTGTGAAAAAAGAAAGAAGCTATTTATTGTATGCTGATATAGTTCTAGTAAATGGAGTAATTAAGAGTTTTCTTAGTTACTAAAGTTTTTTTAAATTGTTTTTTAGGTAATTAGTTTAAAACTCAAGATAACAATTTCATATTTAATTGCTGTTCTGTACTGTCAGTGACTTTTAGATTAATAGTAGGAAATACTTTCAGTATTCTTATAAGTAAATGGAAAAAACTATGTCATCTATATTGAGTTAGTACAGTTGGTTCTTTGTCTCTAATAATGTCAATAATTGTTATTTTAATCACCCTTGATCTGTTAAAACCATCCATTCAGTAATCCTCAATGCTTAGTTCTGCCTTAACCCAGCTTTAGGTGTGGCACAGTGGTTTTTCAAAAGAAAAATGAGGGAAGGGGTACCGTTTCTGTCAACTGAGAATTTTAATATTCATTGTCTTTCCTCCCCACTCTTCATCATTTTTGTCTATTACCAGAATATACGAGAATTTTGAGGTTTTAAACTAGGCATATATGCTTAACCTCTTACAGGTAGCTTGTAATTGTGCAGACAGATAATCTTGGGCACGTGGCATGTATTTTCATGTACCTTCAAATTGGTTCTTTTGCCCAAATGGATTAGAGCAAGCAGATAATTGGCTGCATTTGAGTCAAGGGTGTCCCATAGCACACCGATAAAGATTCTCTCCTCTTTTGGAGGATAAGTATTTCTGTTTAAACTGGTTGTCATGAAGGTTGCCGAAGTTGCCGAGAGACACCTCAGTATCCTTTATAGCAGTTTGTTGAGTCAGTTTCCATTTCTGTACTTTTACTGACCTGTGACTTTAGAAAGTGCTTTATAAATAAACAGTGGAAGATCATTGACAGATCACTGAAGTTTAAAATAGAAGAATCTTCACCAAGTGTCTGAAACAAAACTCTTACAGTGCATAAAAATATAGATCATCAAAGAATAATCAGTTGAAAAAAAAAGAATAATCAGTTTTGACTGCAGTAGAGAATATAACAATATAATGATACTACAGAAAACCTAGAAACTTTTGAGATAGTAGTAATAGTATGTCGGTTGTAAAAAAAAAAAAAAGATGTTTTCTTCAAGTTGTGAAGTCTGAGTTTTAAGAATAAGTTAATTTATTTTTAAATCTTAGTTGAAGGATTAACATTTTATGAGTAAGGATGGTGAGGAATTTTTATTATTTATACATGAATTAATATTGTGGTCATTACAGATACATCAGAGCTGTGCATGATGTGGTTAAACGCTCTTTGTTGGTTAGGCTGACCACTGTTTTTGCAATTTATTGGGGGTAGACCTTTGCGGAAAGCTCTTATGTGGATAAAGCTCTAGTTAATGCCAACTAAATCAGTAATTTCAACTTTATTGTTATCATTTTGATGTTTTTTTCTCTGAGTAGGAAGTAGGGAAACGTGATTAATAAAATCAGCCCATTAGACTTTCTTGTTTTTGATGGAACTATTTCCTCCTGTAAAATTTGATGGTCGTGAATTTGATGGCAGAGATTATTTACCTAGCCAGACTTGTCCCTAGAGAGGCAATCTGAAACAATTCCATTAGAATCCAGATAACAATCAAGACGAGTGTTGTGAACCATAATAAAAAAGAATCACGTGAAAGTAAGTTCAGATCTGGTGTGATATTTTGATATTCCTACATCTCTCCTCCCAAGAATAGTCAGTAAACACAGAGTAGTATCTTTTCATTGTCTTTGAACCCCATGTTTATGACTGATTTAAGGTTTAAATATGAAACTATTGTGAGGTCCTAGACCATTTAAAAAATACTTTTGCCAGACAAGACCCCTTAAGTCTTGTTTGGAAATCTTCAATGCATTCATATGTGTTTTATGTATGAATAGATTTATTTATGAAATACTTAACACCTGCTACTTGGCAGGCACTGTTCTAGGCACTGGAAATTAAGCACTTAAAACAGGTGAAGTTTGGACGCTCCCGTAAGAACCTACCTTGGGTCTCATGTCCTGGAAAAGCACTAGCAGTGAATGCACCTGCTCCTCTCTGAGACAGAAGACTGCCGTGCTGCGTCGCACAGCAGCACGTGGTAGAGCTTCACTTTGGCAAATCTGTGACTGACGGAACGCAGGTTCCTCTGTAGCTCTGGTGGCTAGACTCTCACTCTCAGAAGGTACCCCATGGTTTTCCTAGCTTGCTCACGTGTTCATTCCAACCGGAAGTCCTTTCAGATATGCTTAGCCCAGCCCAGCCTGTTTCATCTAGCCCTCACTTGTCTTCCACATGGACTTAGTGCAGTCTCTGTCCATTGCTTTAAGCAGCTGAGTGTGTGTGCATGCACATGTGTGTGCACACACATACACACTGTCTGCTCCAGTTACGTTTTTTAAGTCCTTGGGGGATAAGACCATGGTCGGGAACTTTGGTTTAGCACAGTGTTTTATATCTAGTAGTAATTAATATCAGTATTTGTTGACTTCAAGTGACTGTCCTAAAATTGCTTAATATCAGAACAGTTTCTTTAAAGTGGTCTACATTTATTTTTTTTTATTGCCTTACATTTCTTGAAGATTTGTCTTCAAGACACTTAGTCAAACCACTAAGTGTATCAAGACCTTTCCTTCTGTTTTTAAGAATTATATAGATTATGCTAGTAAGAAAATTCTCAGTGGTACTTTTTAATTGTCATTAAAAGTTGTTTTTCTTGTTCATGAGCCCCATAGCCTTTGGCAAGAGTAGTGGGATCATTCTCTTTCTAATCAGGCAAAATAATAAATTACTATGGCTATATCTAACATCTGCTTTTTTCTTTTTTTTTTCTTAATGGTTAAAGAGGATATTAGGGGCCATTTTTCTTTGATGTAACTCTCTTCTTCCTGCCTTCCCTTCTCCAAAAAGTTTAAGCTAGATTTGATAATTTCCACTATGAGTTTTGTTTTTTTTTCCCCCCTGTTTAATTGATTACTATCAGAATACACAGGCAGGTAGATCCATTTTGTAAGAGCCCAGAGTTCTATCTTCTGAAAGCCTCTACTATGAGCTTGGCTTTCCCGCTGAGTGTTATTTCCTTTGGGATAAATGTTGACCTCAGTGGGTGAGGCATCTGGTGGGAAAGATTTGTATCAAGGGCAAAAAAGTGAAAAACAATCATTATTTTATGGAAGTAATTGGGTTACAAATTGAGGTATTCATATTTTATTACTTGGTTATAAATTCTCTTTAATCCTTTGTTCTTCAGCCTTTCACTGGGACTAATTGTGGATCTTGGCCACCAGTTTTAGGTTAAATCTGAAGAATTCTATACACAGAATTTTAATTTTTTCATCAATTAGATGAAATGGACCATACAAGATAGAATGTAATTATCAAGTCATTAGTTGAAAACTCTGAGGAAAGGGTGATTCTCCTTGTGTTTAGACTTTTGTTTGTCATGCATGACAAACTTAAAAACTCTGCTCTGCCAAGTGTGTGTCTTCATGAATTCTGTTTATGTTTTGAGTGAGAGAGGTGGTGGAACTATATAGATGTGTATTATTCTTAGTACCTGAATTATTATTTATTTTTCATAGTTCTCATGTAAGAATATTCATTAATATCTTTGTATCCCAGACTGAGATTTTTCTTTCCCTTGTAAGCCTAAGCTTCTTCCTACTTGTTTATTCTCTTCCATTATAGACTTGATGATGCATTTTGCAGTTATTTCTCAGTACTTCTGATGGAATCAAGGATTTTAAAAGTGTATTTACGGAAACTGGTTGTAAAATAACTGACTCTTAGTTGATATGATGAGGGTATACACTTGCTAACCTTTTCGTCAACCTGGCAGGTTTTGGGTCCTGCTCCCAGGTGGTGTTCCTTCTTGGACAACTTGACAGAAGAATTAGAAGAGAACCCAGAAAGCACAGTTTATGATGATTACAAATTTGTCACCAAGAAAGACCTTGAAAATTTAGGTAAAGGAAAATTACAATGAAATGTTTATAAAATTATTTCTACTTGTTTTGAATTTTGAACATCAAAAGTGATGGAGTCACATTCATCTGATGTTGCAAATCTTCTCTTTCTGACAAATAAGGTATTAAACATAGTACATATAGTGTCTGCTTAGAAGATTCAGATAAGTTCAATCTACTGAAGCGTTTTTGTGTGTTAAGTGAGGAACAATTTTTTTGGCCTACCACCTGTGTACAGGAAAATACCAGTCCTGGAAGCAGTGACTTTCTTTCAAGTACTATTTGAATATAATAAGATTGTGAGAAATCTCAGAGACTGCATGTAAATGCTTTTTGTCTCCCTTGTAGGTTTGCTTATTAATAGACCTAATCCACAACTTAGAAACCATGGGTTGAATCCTCAAGTATGTAGAACCTTAACTGTTATTTGAATTTAAAGAATACAAACCAAAAATGCTTCTTAATAACGGCCAATATTAAAATAGGGCTTACATTTGCCCAGGCAGTATTCTGAATGTTTTATATACATTTTATTTAATCCTCACATCTGTTGAGTGGATACTATTATGATTTCATTTTATAGGTAAAGAAACTGAGGCATGGAAAGATTAAAGTAACTTCTCAAAGGCTTCAGTGGTGGTAAATGTGAGGGTTAGAATTTAAACCTAGAGTCCGTGCTCTTAACTAACCTCAGCCATACTGACACCCTGAAGAACATATTTGTCTTAGTTGACTAGCACTAGTTTGCAGGATGAGAGTAGGTTTTGTTAATCTTGTTCTCTTGAAAAAAGGCTGCATAGCAAATTATTGAGAATACGAAAACAGGATCCACTCTCTGCAAGCCTAGGCAGCTTAGTTGTCTTTAGAACAGAGAGATATACAATAGCAGTTGAATGTTAAAAGAAAGTAGAATCATGTAACAGATTAGACGAGAGTCTTAAACTTTATATTTAAACCATATCTTTTAGCGCAGTTAATTCAGGCAAACTTATTTTCTGCCAGCTACCACCAAAATAGTTCCTTAAATTTTAATGTGTTTAAGAAGGAAAGAGTTGTGTTTAGCCTTTTGAAAAGTGACTTATGGATGAAATAAGGTAAAATAGATCTTTCTATGGAAATGCCTTCTTAAATATCTCCAGTGTAATTTTTATAGTATGGTTGTGTGACACTCACCTACATTCTTACACTGGAGAATAAAAAGACATTTTTATTTTGTGGATTTTTAAAAACTACTGTGTTTAGTATATTTTGGGTGCTTTTTCAGTCTCTTGACTATGTTTATTTTGGGTGAGGAAGGCAGTTATAAAGGTTTAAATACATTTTGTTAAAATATATTCATGCTGCCAATTTTTTTCTTCAGATGCTTATTTTTTTATTTATTTGGCTGTACAAGGTCTTAGTTGCAGCACATAGGATCTTTAGTTGTGGCATGTGAACTCTTAGCTGCAACATGTGGGATCTTGTTCCCCAACCAGGGTTCAAACCTGGGTCCCCTGCATTGGAAGCGTGGAGTCTTAGCCACTGGACCATCAGGGAAGTCCCCACATTGCCTATTTTTAAGACTATGGAAATAGATATAATATTCAACAAATAAATTATACTAGAAATCATCTTCATGTAGCTTATTATAGCCATTGGTTATATTTTTCAATAGATTTTACCATCAGTATTTTCATTTATCAAATAAGTAGCTTATGTTAAAGTAAAAATAAGGCCATGGAAGTGACTTCCCTTGTTTCTCAAGATTATATCATTTGAAAAGTTGCAAGTTCTGTCATTTCCTAGCTATGGCCTTTAGCAGGTCCTATGCCATACCATTTCCCAAAATGTGTTTCATGGACCCCTGCTTCTGTAAGAAGTGCTAGATGGGCAGCATAGTGGCTAATACAGGCTTTAGGGAGGCTGACATGGGCTCACACCCCACCTCTACCGAGAAATAGCTCTGTAACTTGACCAGTTTACTTAATTACATTGTGCCTTCGTTTCCTCATCTATAAAATAATAATAATGGCACCTACTCATCGAGTTGCTTAGAGAATGAATCAGATCGTGCCTGAGAATTACTCAGCACAGTATTTAAACAGTTCATAATGTTACCTATCATTTAAGAGATTTGTGGCAAATAAGTTTATTTGAGAAATGTTCAGTTTAACCAAGTTAAATCAGTTTCTCTTCTGTGGACTTTGAGCCTTTAATGTCATTATGCACTGTAAATCACTAGGAGGGAGGAAACTTACTTAATCACAGAACCTCGTCTTCCTCCAAGATCTGTTGGGACCAGTGTTGTCTGGAGCTAAGGATGAGAAAACCTGATGCCAGATCTCTCCTTAAAATTGTTTTAATATGAAAAACTTCCTGCTGGATTTTATTCATGACCTAACTTGGAATGGGAATAATTCTGGGCCATAAATATAAGTTCTGTATACTTAATAGAGGAAATAAAAAATTATAAAAACACATGTGCAGGTACCTCAATGCAGATTGTTGTGCATTTGGACATTTCATTAAGGTTCAGCCCTCCCCAGTGCCCCTTTAAGTTTCCAGTGTGCAAATTCAAACAATGGAGTTTTATTGACCTAACGTTCTAAGAAAGTACTTTTCTGACCAAGACTTATAATTACCGTATGAAATTATCCTAAATTTAGGTTTGCCTTTTGATATTGTTCTATAATGTATACTGTTTTGTACACCTATGTGATTTTTACCTAGACATTATTTTTAGCCCTGGAGGGTTATTTCTAAAATTTGGAAATCAGGGTAATGCTTTCCTTAAAGCAGGGCCGCTAGACACTCATTGGCTTAGACTTTTCATTCATCCATAATGCAGTATGTGTGTGTTTAGTATATGTGTTGGTATACATTTGCCAGTTTATTCTGTTTTGGGGGACCACATACCCTTTCTGCTTTATTATTGTGACACAGTTTTTCTTTTGTTTTTGGAAATTACGGACCATCCCCCTCCCCCACCCCACTCCCGCCCCTACCCTGGCCCTGTTCTTACTTGGCAATATGAAAGTTGGCAACCTAGTGTTGAGTCTCAGTATTAAATTTAGATTTGAAACTGGCTTATGGAAAAGGGCTTCCCTGGTGGCTCAGAGGGTAAAGCGTTTGCCTGCAATGCAGGAGTCCCGGGTTTGATCCCTAGGTCAGGACGATCCCCTGGAGAAGGAAATGGCAACCCACTCCAGTATTCTTGCCTAGAGAATCCCATGGACAGAGGAGCCTGGTAGGCTACAGTCCACGGGGTCGTAAAGAGTGACACGACTGAGTGACTTCACTTTCATGGAATGAAAACACGCTGAGAACCCAGTAGTATGGGGAGCCCTTCTTTACTAGTCTGTTATAGTTCATGAATACCTTTCCATCATTTTTATGCTTAGTACAATATTACATTAAAAATAAGATAATGTTGCTGAAGTAAATTAAAATTTTCTTTGCAGTTTATTAAAGAAGATTAGTGGTTCTAATCCTTAAATTTTTACTTAGAAGTGAAATTATAATCAAATTGTTATCTGTGAAAAACTGCTGAATTTTAACCAGGATCAGGATTTCATAAAGATCTGCCCTCTTCTGGTTAACTTCCCCCAGGGCTAACACATCTCATTGGATCACCTTTTCTTCGGGCATATATGCATGGATTTTTCATGGATATAAGGCTCTACCACAAGGTAAGTACAAAGCTACAGTTATTTAAGGTGACTGATGATCGCTTTGTGGGCATTTCTTCTCTACTTATGTATATTTTTATAAAACATACTTAAGATTTGTAAAAGATCTATCCTTTGGCATAATATTCATGCTGTATATGAGACATGCTGCTAAATGTAGTTCTCTTGGTTTTAATTTTCTACTCAAAAAGGTGAAATTGATGGTAAATCCATTTGCTTATGAAGAATATAGGAAAGATAAGATCCGGCAGAAGATAGAAGAAACACGAGCACAAAGAGTGCAATTAAAGGTAAATATTACAGTCAGTATTGAATCTACTGGGGAAAGGTTCTTCATTTTTATTTTGTTTATTATTTGGAGGAGCTTGCCATCCATTTCTTACTTTTCCCATCCTTAGTTTACATCATTCACTAATATTTTTGACATGTTTTATTTGTCGTGAGGGTGGATGCTCTAGTTTCATCCTTATGGTAAAGGTAGTGGTGGTGTGGCAAGTAATGCTAGGTGAGCTGATACTGTTGGTCCTACCAAGAAAATGCAATGCTGTTTTCAAACAGGTGTTTTTAGACTTTTGGAATGCTGGGGCTTTGCTAATCCCCATTTCTTGGTGACACATGGAAGGGTCTTAGGCTAGCTGCTTGGATCATGGGAAACAGTCATCGGACTATGCCAGGGCCCAGACAAGAATCAGGCCACATTAGTTCTATTATCAGAGAGAATTTAATGTATAAAAATTGTTACCCGGGTATTAGAGAGGTGAAGAGGCAAAAACACTGATAAAGGAGGCGGTGGCTACAGGGAGCAGCTAATTCGCCAGCACCTGGCAGTAGGAGACAGGCGGGCCTAGAGACTCGGACCTCGGAAGAGGGCTGACAGCTGGCGGTGGGGCCCTCGAGATAGGATGAGGCTGTTCCTGGGAGTGTGGGGAAGCCACAAACTGGACTCCTTTGCTCTACTGGAGCCACGTCGTTACTGCCAGGAGACAGAACTATTGACACATGACACCAGCCCTGCAACCAGCAGAGGGGAAGCGGAAACCCCGTCTCCTCCTGCCTTCCCGGCCTGATTGAGATAGACCACCAAGGGATATGATCGTTTCTAACTGGGCATTTTGTAAAACATACGCACACACTTTCAGTGCAGAGAGTAGTAGCAAGCTTTTCCTTTTATCGGATTATTAGTTAAAAGCAGTGAATATGTGTGTGTATATTGGCCAAGGCAGTCTAGGACATGGAGTCCCTTTGTCCCTACTCTTTGCTTTAACCTCCAAAGCTAAATTATAGGTATTGCAGTACAACCTTTTTTTTTTCCTCCTCCACTAGAAATTGCCAAAAGTTAACAAAGAGCTGGCACTTAAATTAATTGAGGAAGAGGAGGAGAAGCAAAAATCTACCTGGAAAAAGAAAGTTAAGGTAAGATTTTATAAGGCAAAGAAAATATTGATAAATTATTTCTCTGTTTTCTTGATAGTAAATTGTATCCTTTTACTTTGAGAATGTGTTTAGTTTTCCTTGTTCGCTCTGCTTATTAGATAGTATATACTCAATATGGAAAGTTTGTAAAACAGATAAAAGTATAAAGAAGAAAGTCACTCATGTACTTCTATCCAGAGAAAAGCATCATTAATAGTTTAGTGAATTTCTTTCCTGTCTTATTTCTCTTAAAATTATAAACTGTAATAGGATACTACTATATATATATAAAAAATATTTATCTTGGTTCTGTAAAATAACACATGTGGCTTCGCATTTTACTAAACAATCTTTATAAATATTTTGAGAGCTGCATATTTTATCTTTGGATGTATTTTAAATAACCCTTTTATTGTTAAATATTTAGTTTGTTTATTGTTTTTCTTTGTATAGTCACTAGGTTTGTTTATAACTGAAAAAGTAACCAGCTTTCATTTAGACTTGGCGTTACTGGGCGCATGCACTGTAAGGATTAACTGCTCTCTGCCTTCCATCCCTGATGTAAAATGGACGAAGGTCGGTCATAAACTAAGTATGGGTCAGCTGATGGTGTCAAGACAGAAGGCAGATTTTTTTCTCATTTTCCCAGAGAAGTGAGAGCTTCCTCATTCCTCTCCATGCTGTTTCCCCGTCGGCCATAAGTGGGCCGGGCTCTTCTCTGAAATGAGTTGTAAAGGTCCCATCTCTCCTACGAGCCTGTAGGACCTGCTTGCGTAGATGGCCAAACTTTGTATCTGGGCCAGCTGTGTCGAGCTGTCCGGAGAGTTTTCTTAGTGTTTATTCTTTTTCTGTCTCTCTCTAGTTTTTTAACCAGGTAAGTGAATGGAGACAAGTGAGCTCTTCGTGTGTTTATTTTTGTACCGCTCTCTTCAGGAGTGTCGGGGCTGCCACTGAAGGGTCTCGTGTCTGGTCCCCCTTGCTCACCAGTTGTGTCATTGTGGGCGACCCTGAGCTTCACTGGGTCATAGCTTGTTCTTCTCTATGAGGAGTAGGACTGAGGTGGGGACGGGGGAGCCTTCTTGGTGCTGTGATTGTGTTTGTGGCTGTTTACCTTCCTAATTTCATCAGTGTATCACATGTATGCTTAGAGCTTAAAGCGTTCAAAATATAAGTGCTTCCGGCTCTCTTGGCGTTCTCTTTGGCATGCTCCCAGTGATTTTCTTGTTAGCCCAGCCTGAGGATGGTTAGGGGTAACTTATCAGCTTTATAAGTCATTCCCCAAGCTTCCCGGATATGATGTTTGGATTTCCATGCCCTGAGGTTGCAGTGGGAGGGTAGAGGAGCTGGTTTATGCTGCAGAGGTCTTCTTTCCTATCTACAATTTATGCATCTGAGTCTGTATGACATTCAGTGTTACAGAGAATACGACACCAATTAATGTTTCATTTTGATACTTTGTGCAGCATGGCTTACACAGTGTACAGGAGCCGTTCTTAAAGGTTTTAGGATTATGAAGATGCAGAGGAAGCCCCTTTTCTCTCTGCCCCCCTCTTCACACTCTTGCTGAGATTAGGGACAGCCAGAGGAGATGGAGAACATAGTTGGCGTTTGCTGTGCCCAGGGGTGCAGGATGGTAGCAACAACCCCAAGGGCTGAAAATATGCAGAGTGACCTGCAGAGTCCATGGGAAAGTCATGGTTGTCTGTGCCTTTGAAACAATTTATAGGGTTATCCTGTAAAGAAGCATCCAGCTATGTGCTGTTCATACTGCAAGTGCAAAGAGGAAGAACCTGAGAAATCCCTCTCTCCTTCCATCAGTTTCCCTTCAGCTGTTGGAAGCTGGAAGCATGGTGTTTGTAGTGGTGTGAACTCTAGAATACTGCTAGAAAGGGGTGTTTTCATTGACTTTTCAGTGGCTTGCTGACCCAAGTCAGGCCTCATTATCAGAGTTCAGTTTCTTTGCAGAAATACTTAAATATAGGAACATCCCCTGGGGAAGGAAATGGCAACCCACTCTAGTATTCTTGCCTGGGAAATCTCATGGACAGAATAGTTTAGCGGGCTATGGGATTTTTGCAGTCCATGGGATTGCAAAGAGTCAGACAACACTTAGCGACTAAACAGCAACAACAAAAAGTCTGTTGTTAGAGAGCTTGTCTGATTTGTTGTTTAACAGTTTTATCTAATTCAAATGACCTTGGAACTTCCCTGGTGGTCCACTGGTTAGGACTTAGTGCTTTCACTGCTGGCACCTGAATTGCATCCCAGGGAATTAAGATCCTGCAAGGTGAGGCAAAAACAAAACAAAACAAAACACAACAACAAAAAACAAAGACCTTAAAAACTGTTCCTGAATTAAGAAAAAAGTCCTTCATTATAATTGTAAAGAATACTTGAAAGAATTGTTAAATCCATCAGCACTTCATTAGTCTTGTCTTTGAACTCAGCTCTTCAAACCCTTAAGAGCCTTAATAGCTCTGGTAACTTCTGATTTAAAAGTCAGTACAGTGCAGTTATGGTCTGCTTTGACTCCAGCTGAAATTTCATGGAGGCAGACAATGAAATATGTTCCCAGATATTGCTCCCACTGATAACATAATTAAATTCTAATAAGATGTTTACCATTCACTTCATGTTGGATCTGCAATGGCAAGTGACCCACCACATAGTGTTAGGAAGCAATTATCTGAACCTTATCCAAACTTAGAAATGTGGTGGTGTTAATTCTAATTAAGAATCAATTCATTTATTCTTTCAGCTAATATATATTGAGCTCCCAATAGGTACAAGCACTTTAGGAGAGGCAAGCAAATGGTGATCCATTTGATCTATAAGGGTGTGCATTGTAGCTAAGCCACTTTTCTTACAAGTGCCGCTTCTTGCCCATTGGCCTTTTCTGCCAAATTTTCACCATTGCCTTAAAGTCTTGTATGGAGGTACTTCTCTCATTCTGCAGCAGCCCAGCCAGGTACTGTCATGCATGATGTCAGTAGGCTAGGTGTGTTCTGTGGCTCAGAGACCTTGGGAGACGTGTCCTACCAGCCTTAAGGATTCTTCCATACCAGCATCAGCTTAGATGTTAAGTAATTATTTACCTCCCCAGGGAAAAGACATAATTATTCATAGACCCTGGGTTGGATCAGATCAGTTTAAACATCCAAAATATTATGTTTTAAAGCTTTTCAGTACCAATTAAAGATTGTGTGGTTTCTGTTGTTGTTACAGTTCTGCACACAGAGTTTTGAAAACTAGTATTTCGCCAAGGTTTGTTAGGAGTGTTGCCTGCCCTTCCATCCTTCTATTCACCCTCTTCTTTCCCCTCTCCCATTTTCAGCTCTCCTGACACTCTTGCCTTTTTAGTTCATTATTTTGGTCTAAAACTCTGTTTCTTACTGCTGGCCTATGGTGCTCCTTCTTGATTTTCAAATGTCCAGCATTGTCTTTAAAAATTTATTTAAGCAATAAACTTGATCACCTCACAGGGACTCTTCAGTAACATAGCTCTCAGTTGTCTGAGAATATGGAGGCATTGTCTTTTGATAACCTTTCCTCCCTGGGCCAGGGAGGAAACTTTGTAACTTTGGGTAAGTCAGTACTCAGCATTTCAGTCAGTTCAGTGCAGTTGTTCATTCCTGTCTGACTCTTTGCCACCCCATGGACTGCAGCACACCAGGCTTCCCTGTCTATCACCAACACCCAGAGGTTACCCAAACTCATGTTCATTGTGTTGGTGAGGCCATCCAGCCATCTCATCCTCTGTCATCCCCTCTCCTCCTGCCTTCAATCTTTCCCAGCATCAGGGTCTTTTCAAATGAGTCAGTTCTTCACATCAGGTGGCCAGAGTATTGGAGTTTCAGCTTCAACATCAGTCCTTCCAGTGAATATTCAGGACTGATTTCCTTTAGCATGGACTAGTTGAATCTCCTTGCAGTCCAAGGGAGTCTTTTCCAAGACCACAGTTCAAAAGCATCAATTCTTCAGAGTTCAGCTTTCTTTATAGTCCACTCTCACATCCATACCTGACTATTCAGCATTTACTTTGTTACAAATATGTGTATACTCTTTACATCTACTCCTCCTCTCCCTGAATGCTCTCTGGTATTTGACTCTTTGCAGCCCTCTGGACTGTAGCCTGCCAGGCTCTTCTGTCCATGGGATTTTCCAGGCAAGAATACTGGAATGGGTTGCCATTTCCTTCTCCAGGGGACCTTCCTGACCCAGGGATCGAACCCGTGTCTCTTGTATCTCCTGCGTTGGCAGGTGGATTCATACCACATCTCCTACATGACCTTATTTAGTCTTGTTTCCCGCACAATCTTAGTTGTCCCTGGACTTAGTAATTGACTTTTTGTTAGTTTTCTGTGTACTTAGTCAGTAGTCAACACTCAGTTCTTTGCCACTTGTCTAAATCTTATCTCTTCATAGTTACATGAAGATCACCAGTTGTTATATAAACTTGACTTTCCTGAAGAAGTCTCTTCTACATCATTCTGCTCAGTTCCATTCTGGAATGGTCCCCTTCAAATCCTGGTTCACAGCCAGCATCCTGGTGGTTCATTCCACCTCACCCCGTGATGGATCCAGAATCGTAAGGACCTTCAGTTTTCTGAAGGAATGTTGTCTCCAGCCCAGACAGACAAGCAGTCAGTATAAGGGGTAGTAAAGAGATCCTCACACCCACAGTTCTCAATAGCAACAACAGCAAATCACTCTTATGTGCGACTTTTCCTCACGAAGTCCCGTAGGGTTTTCTCCTCCAACGTGAGACTAAGGCAAGAAGGAGAAAGAGACCAAGGAAATCTCCGGACCGGCCCAGGGCTGTGCTGGGGGCTATCTTGTCTTCCACCAGAGATCCAGCAGCAGTGCTAGCCTCCTCGGGTCCCCCTCAGTCCAGGAGCTCAGGTGCTGGGAAACAGTCTTGGGTAAAAACGGTACGTAGTTTTTGCCTACTTTGATGCATAGCTGTTGGTTCAGATTTAAAAGAGTGGAGTGCTCGCTTCGGCAGCACATATACTAAAATTGGAACGATACAGAGAAGATTAGCATGGCCCCTGCGCAAGGATGACACGCAAATTCGTGAAGCGTTCCATATTTTTTCTTTTTTTACTCTCCAAAAAAAAAAATAAATAAATAAAAGAGTGGAAGATACAAAAAGCTGAGTGGAGACCCTGAGGGCACCTCAGTCCTGGCCAATCTGTTTGTTTGGGAATGCACCAATCCGCAGTGTCTTTCAGCCTCTCTCTTCTGGTCAGACTCTGTTGCTCAGAGGGTGACAGCCTGGCTGCCAGCGCTTCGAGAACCGGGAACTGTCAGCAGGAGGGTAGGGGCGTGGGGTGAGGCAGCATCTCCCCCTTGCCTTCTTCCCCTGGGTACCAGGTGCGTCCTCAGCGCACCGCGGCCCCTGCCAGACTCGTCCCCCTCCAGAAGGGCCTTCACTTGGGGACGCCGGGTGCTAGACCTTCCTCTCTTGCTTCTGCATCCTCTTGCTCCCGTCTCCTTTCCTGGCCTCCTCATCCTTGGGGATTCGTGTCCTTTTAAAGCCCCTCTTCTATTGTTTTAGTGGTGTTTTAGCAGAGATTGGAAGGAGATGCTCCTGTTCAAACTACTGTCTTTACTCAGAAGTCAGCATCACCTTACTTTCATAGATACCATTGCATTGCAAGTGTTGATCTGCTTTAAATGTGGAGTATTCCTTATATATGTTGCTGTGCTGGGACACAGTGTGGATAATGAGGGTCCCCACTCAGATCTACCCAGAATACCCTTCTCTGAGGCAGGGCTGCAGTGTGACAGTACCTTATGATGTTTCCCAGATTCCAGGGGCACGTGTTTGGCATACATACACGTATATTTATAGAGCAGACTGCTAACCAGACATGTGTAAACTACTATAGGACATCACTAACTACATCTCATCCTACTGTTTTTTTTTTTTTAAGACAGCTGTGAAAACCATCAATTAGACTAGTAAAACTCTCTGGGGGAAATACTTTTACAGCTTGGTTAAAGAGTTTTTACTTTATATTTGTTCATCCAAGGCATACTTGTCTTTGGGCAGTGCAACTTGTTTTAAATTAAGGGGAAAAAAGAGAATACTAGCCAACTTACTCTTTTTTTAACATGTTTCTCTGTTGTTTATTAAACGTGATGATACAGTAAAATGGAAAAGAAAAGATTTCCCTTGGGATTTGTATATTTACATATGTATATACATATACATTGGCTTCCCTGGTGGCTCAGACGGTAAGGCATCTGTCTGCCTGCAATGCAGGAGACCTGGGTTTGATCTCTGAATCAGGAAGATCCCCAGGAGAAGGAATTGGCAACCGACTCCAGTACTGTTGCCTGGAAAATTCCATTGACGGAGGTGCCTGGTAGGCTACAGTCAGTGGGATCACAAAGAGTCATACACGACTGAGCAACTTCACACACGCATACGTTATATATTTTATATCTAAATATACATTTTATATACATATACATTTTAAATCTGAATATATAAAACATGACAATATGTAACTATAAAACCTGAAAATATATACTTGGCAAATAACTGTTCTTCTGGTCTTGGGCAGTATCACCTGCCCTGTGTTTGCAGATAACTCCAAAATGTATCCAGTGTAGCCCTCTCTTCTCTCCTGAGCCCTGGTGCCTGGTTTTCAGACACCAGATGGCATCCTTCAGAATACACTGAGTTAACTGGTCTTAAATGAAACATAATTTTGTTTTTTTCTCTGTTTAACTTCTCTCATTCACTGGATTTTTCCAAAGACACATTCTAATAACAGTTTTATATTCACAGCAAAAGTGAGAGGAAGGTACAGAGATTTCCCACATACCCCCTGTCCCCCACACATGTGTTAGGCCCACCCCCAGCCCACCTCGCTGTTAATATCCTCCACCAAGGGGGGATGTTTGTTACAGCTGATGAACCTACATTAATATGTGATAATCCCCTGAAGCCCACAGTTTACGTTAGGGTTCATGCTTAGTGTTGTTCATGCTGTGGTTTGAGACACGTGTGTAGAGACATGTGTCCACTATTAGAAAGTCAGGATGTTTTCGCTTCCCCCACACCCTCTGAGCTACAGCTCTTCACCCCTCCCTTTGACCCCTAACGCCCACTGAGCTTTTGCCTGAGTCCATTGTTTTACCTCTTCTACAGTGTCATTTAGTTGGGATTGTAGCCTTTTCAGATTGGCTTCTTTTGCTTAGTAAGGGTCTCTCTGTCTTTTTGTAGCTTGATACCCTATTTCTTTTTAGTGCTAAATAATACTCTGTTGTCTGAATGTATCATGGTGTACTTTACTATTTTTCCGTATTCCTCCTCTCATCTCCTCCATAGAGATATCTATCAATTCTAACTTACTAGTGTATCTTCACCCTTGGATACCATTTGCCCTGATTGAGGCCCTGTCTCTGTTCCCATTTCCTCAAGTGGCCTCTTCATCTTCCTCGTGTCTTGAGTTCTGTCTCAGTAGCCCACCATATACCATGTGGCTGCAGAATCGCAAAGCAGGTTTCTTTGTTGTCTGAGATTCTTGACTTACTCTTCTGTTTGTCACCTTTCTCCTCCTTATCTTCTTTTTCCCTAGTCATTTCCCCTTACCTACAGAGAAAGGTCATGGCATATTAAGTCTTTTACAATCTGGCCTGATCAAAAATGGTTTTTTCAAATTTTGCCACTATCCTTGCATTATCAGGCTGCTCACCACTCCTCAGGGGGCTGGAAATGCTCTTCCCAAATTCCTATCTGTTGAAAAGTACTCTTCTTTCAAGCCTCCTCCCGGATGTGCACTCCCCCCCACCCACCTCCCCACTGAGATGTCTCTTGTTGGAGCTACTTTTACCCCTCTGCTCCTAGAGTACTTTCATGTCTGCTTAGCATCCTTCATAAGGTGCCGTGTAGCTTAGAGTCTGGTTTGTTTATTACTCAAGTTGTGAGTGAGTGAGTGCCTTGGGGTCAAGAACTAGGACATATCTCTGTTTCTTCCTTGATCCTAAATCTGTTTTGGAAATGATAATAGGGAAGCCTTTAGTGTGTCTCAAATATTAATTCAGCATATCATAGAATTTTAGTAAATGTTAGTCAGATTTTAGGTACATACAGGTAATAAATAGCCCAAGTTCCTTAGTGTCTCATGGTTTGCCAATTTTTTTGTATAGTTCAGTTCAGTTGCTCAGTCGTGTCCAATTCCTTGTGACCCTATGGACTGCAGCATGCCAGGCTTCCCTGTCCATCACCAATTCCTGGAGCTTGCTTAAAATCATGTCCGTTGAGTCAGTGGTGCCATCCAACCATCTCATCCTCTGTTATCCCTTTCTCCTCCTGCTTTCAGTCTTTCCCAGCACCAGGGTCTTTTCCAGTGAGTCAGTTCTTCACATCAGGTGGCCAAAGTATTGGAGTTTCAGCTTCAGCATCAGTCCTTCCATCAGGACTGATTTCCTTTAGGATTGACTGGTTTGATCTCTTTGCCATCCAAGAAACTCTCAAGAGTCTTCTCCAACAGCACAGTTCAAAAGCATCAGTTCTTCGGTGCTCAGCTTTCTTTTTAGTCCAACTCTCATGTCCATACATGTTTTTCCATACATATGGAAAAACCATAGCTTTGACTAGATGGACCTTTGTTGGCAAATTTTTGAATAGTTGTTATACAAAAACAGCATTCTGAACTCAACAACTTAGAGTCATATTTACTCTCAGTAGTGGAGAAGCAGGCAATAAGATAAAGTCTGTTAGGTAGAGCCAGGGGCCACCACAGATAGGTTCGTTTTCTCCAGCCTGTTCCTTAGGCTGTCTACTTTACAAACCATGTCAAATAGGTTAGTTTATCTTGTTTCCAAGACTACTGCAGATTAGGACAGTAGGAAGCCCTGAGTGTATACAGTTATCATCTGTTTAAGTTCTATAAACTTGGGCTACCATGATAGCTCAGTTGGTAAAGAATCTACCTGCAATGCAGGAGACCCTGGTTTGATTCCTGGGTCGGGAAAATCCACTGGAGAATGGATAGGCTACCCACTCCAGTATTCTTGGGCTTCCCTTGTGGCTCAGGTGGTAAAGAATCTGCCTGCAATGCGGGAGACCTGGGTTTGATCCTTGGATTGGGAAGATCCCTTGGAAAAGGGAAAGGCTACCCCCTCTGGTATTCTGGCCTGGAGAATTCCATGGACTGTATAGTCCATGGAGTCGCAAGAACTCGGACATGACTGAGCGACTTTCACTTCACTAAGTTTATAGTACATTTCTAGAAAATGTTCTGTTTAGAAGGGATACAAATAAAAAGGAATTTAGTGTCAGTCCTGAGCTATCCAAACGGGTCTCAATCGTAAAGCTTTATTATGTCGAAATCTCAGTCGTACACTGTATCCTTTGAGAACAGTGAAATGGCCTAGGGGAAAATTGATGAGGCTACCCCATAAGGGAAGGAAATATCTATTATGTTTCCAAGTAACTCAGAGTCAGTAAACTTACACCATCAGCTCCCCCCCCCCCATGTTAATTCTTAACTTATTATTGGTGCATGTTTTCTTTCCCAGTTTTGGAATCTGAAGTTGACAGACTAATACTCATTCAGCAGAGTAGTCATGCTTAAAAAGCCATGTTTCAAAACCATGTGTTTCCTTGAGAAATATTTTTACATGAAAAAACATAAACTAAAAAAAATTCTTTCCAACATATTAAGCATAAAGTTAGCCCAAAAGACTCATTCTTAGCTCATTGTGTGCAGCAGCCAAGTAATACGTATTTGCTGTGAAATAAGTTAATAGGATTTGACTGTGGATAAGAAATCAGCAAGAAGGAAGGCCTGGAAACTGGTTCTTTAACAATATCATAATAATTTAATAAATTGTGCCTTATGTAGCTTTTTAATAAATTGTTGAGTAAGATGTTTTTAAGCCATCTTTCTGGGAAGATTTTATTCTAATATTAACTTTAAATTTTGACATTCTTTTTCTTACAGAGCCTTCCTAATATTCTCACCGATGATCGATTTAAAGTTATGTTTGAGAACCCTGACTTCCAAGTAGACGAAGAGAGTGAAGAATTTAGACTTCTGAACCCACTCGTTTCCAAAATTAGTGAAAAAAGGAAGAAGAAACTGAGACTCCTAGAGCAACAGGAACTTCATGGAAAAGTAACATACTGTTTATTGTTTAGAATTTGTGTAATATTTAGTTTTATGTATAAGTTGGAAGAGTCATTGAATAAAGCTGTAATTTGTTTGACCTTCAGCTTAGGAGAATATACCTTCTTTCATTAAAGAAGGTATATTTTTTTCCCATTTACGCAATGTCACAGATTCTGATAGGTTAACGCTATTTAAAAGGAAATAACGGTTGGTATTTTTGGCAGAGGGAAAGGAGCTGCTTCTTACTATTTTTGTTTTCAGGAAGAGGAGGAAGAACCGGAAGGAAAACCAAGTGATGCAGAAAGTTCTGAGAGTTCAGATGATGAAAAAGACTGGGTCGCAGAGGTCAGGAAACAGCGCCGGCTTCTCCAACAGGAGGAAAAAGTGAAGAGGCAGGAACAGCTCCGGGAGGATCAGCAGACGGTCCTCAAGCCGCAGTTCTATGAGATCAAAGCTGGCGAGGAGTTCAGAAGCTTCCAAGATTCAGCCACAAAACAGAAGATGATCAAGTGAGTAATGCTGCCCCCGGTGCTGGCTTGCTCGATGTCCAGCCTTGCTCTTCCTGGCTGGCCCTGTGCCTTCAAGGGGTCATATTGATCTTTGGAGTTCATGTGACAGTAGCAGCCCAAGGCCAGAGGGGACATAACACTGGTCCTTACTGTGGTGATTCTGAACAACCTTTTGAGGCCTGGTTTACATAGAGTAAGATGCAGGGTGTGGCCCCAGGAGTATTGGTAAATACGTACATTAAAGCACTTTGATTCCGCAAAACCCACACTCTTAAAAATGATGGTGGCAATTAAAGAGGTAACAGCTTCTTTCACAAAAAGTTATTTTTAAAATATTTCAGTTACATTTACTCTCATCGTAGTTTATCTGAGTATTTAAAAAGTCACTTGGAAAATTTGCCAGAAATTTTTTTTAGCTTTATATAGGAAAACAAAGAGATCAGAAAGAGTGGTATTCTGGAATAGGTGAGTACACAGGGACAGAAAGTGGAATGGTGGTTGCCACGGTTGGGGGCTGGGGAGACACCACTTAATGAGCTACGGGGTTTCCATTTGAAATGATGAGAAAGTCGTAGAAATGGATAGTGATAATGGTTGCACAACAATGTGAATGTTCACTGAAGAATGGTTAAAATGGTAAGTTTTATGGTTAAATATTTTACCACAGTAAAAATAAATAAAAAAGAAATCCTTTAAAAGAAATGATATTATTTGAACAGTCTCAGTTGTCAGGTGTCTAAGTAAGGAGTTAGGTACTTAAGCCCCCAGTGTTTATAAGTCACATGAGAGTCACATGAAATTCTCTGCTTTGAGAGTTTCTCGGCCAAGTGTTGATATACAGGATCTGGATGTGATAGAGTAGACAGTCTTGTAAGAAGAGCTTAAAGGTCTGGAGGGCCAAGGGGAAAGGGCAGGGGGAGCCAAGCAAGGCAGGTGAGGTGTCAGATGGGGGCTGTACCAGTTCTGTACCCTGTGCTTTTCTAACCCCCAGCTTCCTGGTTTGAAAATTGTGCTTTTTCAGACAGAAGAAGAGGGGAAAGGTGGGGAGGACATTGATAGATAGACAGAATTATTTCTTAAATGGAGAGTTGCCTGTTCATCTTTATTTTGCCAGTTTCTAGCAAATGTCTGAGACATGAAATGTTGAGGGAATCCTTCAACTTAGATATAGGAGCATCTAGAAATTCTGGCTCTGCCTAACAGAAGATAAGTTGGTAGACAAACAATCTAATGATAGGTTTAATATCTCATGAAGAGATTTTCTTAACCTACCAACCTCACTTTTTTTTGGTTAACAAGTTTCTTTAACTATAATTTACATAACAGACAGTCACATACTTAAAGTATATAGTTCGTTGGTTTTTGGTATAGTCACAGAATTGGGCAGCCACCACCAGAGTCAGTTTTAGAGCATTTTCATCACAGCCCCACAAGCAGAATTCCTTACCCCGTCCGTCAGTATTCACTCCCATTTACTCCACCTCATCTTACCTCCAGGCAAACACTGATCTGTTCTCTAGCTCTACAGGTTTGTCTGTTGTGACGTTTCATGTGGATGTAATCATATATGTGGCTTTTTGTCCCACTGCTTTCACTTGGAATGATTTTTTAATGTTCATCCGTGTTGTTGCATGTGCCGGTAGTCCATTCAGTTTTATTCCAGGGTGTGGGTAATGCCGCATTTTATTTATCCATAGATCAGTTGATGGGTATGCGTGGTGTGTCCACTTGTCAATGCTGCTGTGAACATTTGTATATGTGTTTGCATGGACACATGCTTTCATTTCTCCTGGCTGCATACCTAGGAGTGGGACTGCTGGTCACATGGTAATGTTATGTCTAACCTTCTGAGAAACTGCCAAACTTTTTTCCGAGAAGACTGCTTCCCTTTATGTCTCCATCAGCAGTGTGTGCAACTCCACTTTTTATGTAGCTGTCACTTGTAGATTTTTACCTGGAGTCCTAGTCAGAAGCAGAGGGAAGACTGCTTGTTTTCAGTATTCTGTTTCTATGGAGTGAATTTCTTTGTTAGATGATCTGCTGTTTTTGTCTTGCGTTATTAACTTTACCTCAAGCTCCTGGATCTGTGTCTTGACCCGAGTAGGCACTTGATAAATCCTTGTGAGGGTGTGGATCTTCTGTGCACTGATTCCTTATCAGGCAGCCCTGGAAGTTACTCTTCCAAGATGTGCTGAAAAAGAACTCATTTACCCGAAAACCACTGACCAGGACAGTCTGGGAGCAGTCGTTTCAGTGTAACCATGGTAACAGCTGCGATTTGAGGGTGGGAGACATGACCAAACTGTCTGACATTCTTTTTTTGCCTGTGAGCTTTGGTAGGATATTCATGTAGAAAACAAATGGGATGTACATTTAGTATTTAATGAATAATGATAGCCAACCTAATACACTGCAGTTACACATTCTTACTAAGTTAAGCATCAATAAATTAGACAGTTGTTTTGAGAAGAGGAGCTGTATGAGCGATAATCCTTACACAAGCTTAAAAGTCGTACTGCTTAAAGTAACCACCCTTTGGTAGGAATAGCCCGCAGTTTGCTGGCGTTTGGGCACACACTGCTTGTTGAATTCTAGTCTTGACTGGATTATTTTGGCAAATCCTGAACTTGTAATGTTCTAATATTATTTAATGAAGCATTGCACCATTATCCTTCAGAGAGCTAAAGTGACTCCTTATGTTTATTCTTGGAGTTACCACAAGGCAATCAGCAAAACACAGCATCGGGGTCAAATGGATTATGTTTGAAAGTTCACTTGGACTTGCTCAGCTTTAAAACCACTTCAGTTTTTAAAACCAGAGCGAGTTCTCTCCGTCCCTTAGCCTGGTAACAAGAGCTTCAGATAAATACATATGTCTGTCAGCACATTCTTATGTGCCTTCCAGTGTGCTGTGCTTTCCTTCTGAGTTTATTCATCCACCTGTCAACCTCTCCACCCACCCATCCATCAGTCAGACAGTTGTCTGGTGCCTCGGGTGAGCAGAGTGCCGTCCTGGGCCCTGGGGGTGGGAAGGAAGGGCCCAGCTCACAGGCCGGAAGCACCGCCGTTCTCACCGGGGCTCTGTGAGCTGTCCGGAGGCCCTGGGAACGTGTGCGAGGAAGAAAGGGGGTGGATTTTTAGAGGTTCACTGAAGTCTTAATTAGAGGTCGTATTGAAACTGGTCTTTTGACAGAAAAAGGGTGAACACAGAGAGCAGGGTGGGAAAGCTGGCTTTCTTGGCCAAAGGGGCCATATGAACAGGACTGCTGTGGAGGCGAGGGAAGAACGGTGGTCGTGGGGTGAGAGCCCAGAGCGCACGGCAGGGAGCACAGCCCAGAGCACAGTCCGGGAGCCGGGGAGGCAGGCGAGTGAGGCCCTGGCCCTGGCCCTGGCTGAGATACGGGTGAGCCAGGGGAGACTGGGGCTAAGATTATCATGATCAGATCTGTTCAGTCCCTCCTCCCAATTATGTAAATATTTAACAGTAAAAGCAGTACATGTTTGTTGAAGAAAATAAAAGCATAGGCGTAACAAAGCCCTATTTCCCAGAAATTGCTAGTGAAATACTGCAGTTTTAGAGATAAAATGCAGGGAGAAACTGGGCCCATGAGATCAGCTAGCCAATCATAATAAAGCAGTCCCAGGGGCAAGTGATGAAAGCCTGACATGGGGTGGAGAGGAGCAGACAGACGTGGAACCAGATTATTCCTGAGCGTGTCTAAGAATAAGACACACACTGCAACATCATTTGATTACTAATTTAATATCAAAGGAGTTGGGGCAATGTTGAAATGTCTAGCAGTGTTACCACTGAGATAAAGGATACAGAATGAAAAACAAATTTAAGGCTCAACGTATTGAGCTGGGTGTTCAGCACATTGAGTCCCCAAGACCCATGTGTCCTGGTCATGTTCGGCTGACAAATGGGAATGTAGAAGCTAGGCCAGAGACACTGGTGTAAGAGATACCAGCCTCCCTGTGGGGCTGAGACCCTGACATATAAAGACTCTGCAGAAGTGTGTACACAATAAAGCCCTTAGAAACAACAGATGTTTTTCTTAAGTCTGTGGTGGAAACCATGCACTTCTCTAAAAGCATACAAGTGTGCGCAAAGTAACACATACGGTTTTAGAGGTGTCAGGAATATATTGCTAGCCCGGGGCTGAGAGGTCTGATTTAGAGGGCTGGTGAAGGAGAAGGTGGGCAGTAAACAGTACTAAGGAGTTGCCCAGAAGGTGGGGGGAACTGGAAAGAGCCATGCTTGGAGAGAATGTCACAGAGAAGGACGTGGTACTGATGTCGGGTGCAGAGGGGGTCCCCAACATGGAGGCGTGGCCATGGGAAGAGTGTCAAGGTCAAGAAAGGAATGGGCGAAAAAAGAACATTGTAAACAATTAGCATAGATGGTTCCTTCAGGATACTGGCAGTGAAAGGAAGGAACCAAGGCCAATAGCTTGACAGGAGAGGGTTTTTAGGCTTGAGAGGTGTCTTATTAGTATGCAGAGAGGAATTAACCATGGAAAGGGCAGAGTGACAAAATGACTGGACTGAATTGGCGGGGCTGTACCGGGTGAGCAGTCAGGAGCGAATGGGGCCAAGAGCCACCAGTTAAAGAGATGGTCCATCTTCAGAAACCAAGGAGAGAAGTCAGGATGGGTGGGAGTGACTCTCTTTCTAGGTAGAAAGAGAGGATGTTCACGCTGGCCTCTGTTGGGAATCGGGGCATGTGACCCCCTTCAGTTACCAGGGTAGCCTCGGTCTGGGGCACCTGATGTATGTGCTGGGGGTGTCTGTAGGTGAACCCATGAGAAAGAGTCTTTAGGATAGCTTTCCAGATTTCAGTAGCAGAGGATAGCTCCTCTTCTTAGGTGATAAATGCTACGTGTCGGGAGGCCCTTTCAGCTCAATTCATGAAAACATTCTTTGAAGCACCTACCCTGTAGTCGTTGTAGTTGTTGTTCAGTCACTAAATTGTGTCCAACTCTCTGCGAAGAGATTTTCTGCCTTCAAGGAACTCTT